TTCATTTTTTGAGAAATTATACATACCTTTTGGTCTCAAATTTTGATTCATAAATTTAAAAGTCTTGTGCTTGCTGATTTTCCAAAACTTCTCGTATTTTTACAGTACACTCTCTCCCTTACGAGGAGCTGGTCCTTTGGTTGCAAATGTAGAATTTTGAAAAATCAATTTGTAACATTAGCTGCGCGGTCGGTGGTTGGTTGGGTTGGCGCGAATGGTTTGCTTCAATCAATCAATCGACCACTGTGACCACAGAAATTAATTTCGTTTGGTCGATCCGACAAACCAGGTCCATTATAAATCAACAAGAATGATGGGTATTGAGTGACATGGTATTATCAATGAAAATAAGTTATTGGACGAGCACTCATAGGAAAGAGGGCAAACCGCAGACACGTGTTTCTGGCTATTTAGCCTTCGTTAGTACGGTACTGCCAAGTGTAAAGGATAGGCAACACTGGGTTGCGAAAAAGCGTCGAGAACAAACAAGCGGATTCACCATCAGGGGCCAACTGCGGTTTCGTGTCATCGTCGGGAGATCTTGTGATTACAAGGACTAACTCCCAACTTCGTCACGGGTGCAGGATATCATTATCCTGGATCCGGAGTCTGTTTGGGTTAAATAACTTGTACTTCAAGAAGTATTCCTAGAGTCCATTTTTTAGAATGATCTCGAAGATCTTGCCAAGACTAGGCACAATTGAAATCGGTCGTAAACTACCAATATATGATGGAATCGGCCGATACTTGATGAAAATCCATAACTAACGTATTCCAAAAACACTTTATTGTGAGATTTTCACTAAATTGTTTTACAAAAACGCAACACGTGTTTCGCCATACAATGGCTTCATCTGGCGTGTCTTTCAACTCAAACCCTCCTAATTTGAGTGGAGCAATTAGTTGTGATTTCAGAGCTTGAGCAGATTCGAGAGTCATACAACTTGTTACAATGTCGTCAACATATGAACAAGTTCTCAAAGCTTCAACTGCCATAATAAAGTTAAAGCCTTAATTTCTGCGAGCTTCAATAACGTTCGAATTGCGAGGAATGGTGCTGAAGAAACACCATAAGTCACAGTATTCAGTTCATATTCCTGAATAGGTTGATCACGCCAAAGAATTGGTTGATAACGCCTGTGATCATCAGCGACTATAATTTGCCGATACGTTTGGCCATTATCAGACATCAACGCTACCGCGTTTATATGAAACTTTAGCAAGATAGTAACAAGGTCAGTCTGAAGTTTAGGGCCGGTGAGTAACATATCAATCAGAGAGATTCTTTCAGAGGTTTTTGCCGAATCGTCAAACACAATACGGAGTTTAGTACTAACACTTTCCGGTCGAATAATACAATGATGTGGGATATAGTATGATCCAGATTCGATTGCTGGTTGTTTAATGAGATACATGTGATCTTGTGCCAAGTAGTCGGCCATGAAATCACAATATTGTTTATATAAAGATGAATCGAGACGTAATCAACGTGCAAGAGAGATGAATCTCCTCAGAGATATGTCGTGAGAGTTGAGAAATGAAGGTTCCGAAGAACGAAAAGATAGAGAAGCGATGAATCGCCCTGCAGCATTTCTAGAGACAGAAGCGCTGAAGAGAGTTTCAGCAAGTTCATCCTCCGGGTTGTCCTTACATTTTCTAGGTACCTCTTCAATTTCCCAGAAACGTTTGAAGGCAGAGTCAAGAAGAAGTTCACAAGAGCAATGCAATGAGCTGAGAGGAGATGGAGTGGTAGTACTTCGAATCGTACCCATTAAGACCCAACCGAACACAATGTTAATAGCTAAAGGTTCGTTGCTGCTGATTTTTCAGGTCTTCTATATTTTAAGCATGATGGGCAGTCGCCCATGATAGACTTCAGTTCATTAAGATTAGTTAGACATGTTAACAACAACAGGCAACTAGATGACTATGAGAGTGTAGAAATAAGTAAACACTATATAGCTTGTAGGTAGTTTGCCGTGGTAGTGGACGGACGTGCTGCGTCTATGCATCGCCGGGTTGTTTCAAAATGCAGAGCTGTAATAGTGGTGATTTTAAATGTTGCAAACGGCTTTCAACATATTCGATATGTATCAATTGTCTAGGACTTTCTCACAAGAGTTACCTCGCGAAAGGAAGAAAAAATATTAAACTTCTGGGTAACAATAATATTATCTGCTGTGACAAGGAAATTAAACATAACTTTACAGAAGAAAGAAGTTTACTTGAGACGACAATTCAGGAGCTAACTGATGATGCAAAAATGAAAAGTAGTCATATTCAAAAACTAAAACGTGAAAATGAAATATTTATCCAAGAAGCTATAAAAATCGAAGCAGAATCGAACGATCTGATAGAGCGACAAGAAAAAGAAATTAAAAAATGAAAGACGAACTGATGCGAGAATTCAAAAAGTTATCTACAAATGAAAAACAAGCAACGACAGTCGGTACTCAAACAGACGGAAGCATGAGTCATAGGTTCACAATGACTGACAATTTTTCCTCCAGTGGCAGCGTTCATTGGGAGGTGAAAAAGGAACATATTAAATGTGAACGATCAACCCAGTACGAAGTTCAGTCCGCAGTATCAACTGACAATCAATCTCAGGCAAGACAAAAACCTAACCATCAACATAGAATGGTGATCATAGGAGGACATCATGGGCGAGATATTGCAAAATTTATGTTAGCATAGGTTTGGTTACTCTATACAAGCAATATTGAAGCCAAATTGCACTTTCGAGATATTAATTGAAACTGCATTGACAAATACAGAGGGTTTCACAATGGATGACATAGTCATCCTTTGGGCGGATAAATTATTTTATGACTACAATCTAAAAAATGACTTCTTGACGCAAATGTGGCACACGAATCTCCATATTGTCACTGAACCGTATCGATATAACGGAACTAACAATGACCTAATATACTGAAGGAATCTGACTCTCAAGAAAGAGCTTTCCTATATGAATTTTTCTAATATCCATGTTTTTGAATGCAACAATATTCTGAGAAGATACCATTATCTCATGAATGGATTCAGTATATCAACAAAAGCAAAACGCTTTCTGTGCCGGGAAATTTGGAACTTTATGCGGAGGATGAAAATTGTACAAGACAGAACAATAGCTAATTCGTCATCAGTTATTGAAAAAAAATACTTTTTGGCTAGCGAAAGCAATCGAAATTCCTTAGCAGCTGAATTCCAGGAAAATCTTGAAATTGTTGCAGAAGAGCAAAATGGTGAAAACACAAATTTTTTATACCCTCGCCTATCACAAGTTGCGCCAAAAATATCGCTGCAAGTGTAGATACATTGAATAAAATGGATCATGTGACCTAACGGTGTGCCATCAAAATATTCAATGTCTCAGTAATAAAATTATTCAAATAGATGTGATAAGCGACTGTGATTTTTTATGCGACTTTTTATTTATATCAGAACACTGGCAAAATGGTGATCAACTAGAAATAATGAAGTTGAAAAATATTAGTTTATGTTCTTCCTTCTGTAGAAATATAAAGAAAAACGAAGGAGTAGCAATTTACAAACACGACGACCTATTGCTGAAAATATCTGTGCTAGGCACCTCGGTTACTTTGGCAATAAAGTTCAGCAATATTTCGTATTTTCTATTCTCTTTCCCGAAACAGTAAAAAATGTATTTTGAAGGCATCATGAATATTTGAAATGACGGAAACTATAGAAAATAGTGAAAACTAAACGAAAAATCCGAGCAGGGGGCGGTATCAACTTTCTCTCATCAGGTTTGGTGCCCTTTGCAGCCTATCATTGTTATATGTGTGTTTTGCTATTTTCACTTTTTCTTTATAGTAGTGCTTTAACATGTTATACCTACTTTTGACCAAATCATTAAATGAACTTTTTACAATTTTTGACATTTCACATAACATGTTATGGAGTTCCTTTAATTCAGAAGAGTACCATGGTTTCTTATTTTTGTTAACATAGGTTTTTTTTAAAGGAAAAGCAATGTTGTAACAATATTGAAATGTGATATAGAAGCTTTTAAATTTATCATCGGTATTAATTGACGTGAACACGTCTTCCCATGTTTCCCTTTCTAACAAATTTTTGAAAGTTATTAAATTATTTTCTGTCATATCGCGTTTTAATAAAACTTCAACAGTTTTTGTTCTTTCATTCTGGACTTTAAACTGGCATATTTGGAAAGTGTGATCAGATAAATGATTTTCTTTGATTAGTTGCTTTTCAACATCAATGTTAAAAAAAATTACATCAATAGAAGTGAGACTTCGATTGGTAATACGAGTAGCAAGTTTGATATGATTTACCATTCCAAATTTGTATTTTATCATGTATTTTATCCATACATGTAAATCAATTCTTAACTGCTTTGTAGAATCTTATGTCTTGTCTACATGTAGCCTTAGAATCTATATTGTTACTGTGAATTGACTGTGTTTCTTATTTGTATAAGCTTTGTTAATAAGACTTTTTTTCTTTGAAAATAAAGTACATTTTTATTTGATTGATATACTAGTCCGGAATCAGCATTTTTCTTACAATATTCGCATATTTTCTTCAGTTTATCTGAAGTATAGTTCCACCCTCGGCCATCTCAATATACTTAACTTCTATTGTTATATCTACTTCATTCGGTCGGTCGGTAGCCGAGCGGTTCGACGTGGGTGCTTTGTTCACTCAGTCAATCGACCGATGTGTGAGTCGATGGTTCAAGCCGCAGGCTGAATGCTCGATTTTTACTTGCTATCGTCCAACCCGTATTTGGAATCACACGTTAAAAGGTGAGACCTTGTTAGTCCTTAGTTCGCACAAGTTTCGACTTCTGACAGTTATCGTTCGTAGGGGAACGGAAAAAACATATTTTAAACATTATATATTACATTTTCACTTTTACTGTTGATAATGTTGAAGAGTTGAGATGGTCTTGTTGAAAAACTTTAGCAACTCAATCAGTGATTTTAAAAACGAGTCTCCTTAAAATTTCAGGTTTGCCAAGAAGATTGTAAAAATCTACCTGATTTCCGGAAGCATATGGAAGCTCACGGCAAGAGATCTGAAATAAGATGTGGTGTTTGTAACAAAACCTTCAAGAGCGATCGAGGCCTAGAATGTCACATAAGTACGCACAAAGAACTAAAGTTCCCTTGTGAGTATTGTGGGAAAATTTATCCTTCGATGTATCGAATCAAAAGACACATCAAGAGAGCCCATGTTCCAAACCACTGTGAAGAATGCAAAGAGGTAATTTTTTCAAAACTGTTATTGATCTTCATGCATGATTGAAAAATTCAATGTACTGCCTCATTTTCAGGCAATAGCTTACTTTTACAGCTCCTATCATAAATGCTCATACTCTATTTTCATAATTCTCAAAAAACAATAACAGTTAATAATCAGGAACATTTTTCAACATGTGAAACATAATATTGTCTAGATTCGGGGTTCGGGTAATGCCACACATATAGCTGAAGTAAAACCGGCAGGTACTTATGCAACTGCTTCCATTTGTAAGATTCGTCGCGAGTAACTTCCTATATATGACAGGCAAGATTTTGGTGCTTTCGCCAGAACTTGGGCATTTCATATGCACCTCTCTGTCAAAATGCTGTTTTATGATTTTATAATTGTATAATCAAACCTTATTTTGTGCTTCATATTTCTGTTCAACCAGTTAATTTTTTATTAGTTAAATTATGCAAATTACTGTTCCTTATTTTCCCTAAGTCGTTTCACAGCAGACCTGACTGAAGCAGCAGCTGATGAGAAATATACCCAGGCTCCTCCAGCTACAACTTGCTTGCAACGTTTGCAAGACCAAATGCCAACACAACTCCTTTTCGTGGCATCCTTTCCACAAAAACTGCAGGAATATTTACTGTGTTAAGTAATTTCCATCTTCTTCACCATCTTACGAAGTGAGGCACCATATTTGGTTCCATATTCACCAGTAATTCCTACTTTTTTGGTGCGTTCAGGAAGCCATTTGCATATTGAAAGAATGAATTCAAAAAGCTGTATGATTTCCTTGTTTGTAAAAGGGTTGGCTGAATTCAATAAGTTGTCAAAGAACATTGAAGAATTAGGTGGTCTCAGAAATTTCAAACATTTATAACGAGAGCAATAATCTAATGCTTAATATATTTGACTAAACATTTTTTAGACTGACATTTGAATGAAATGTATAATATATATAGTTGAAACAAATATCAAACATATATAATAGTCGAACTGGTGATGCAACACCAACATAAAAACAACAAAAAACCTTTTATAGTATTCTCTTAATCCTAATGAGCTCTTATTCATTTTTTTTATTGAAAAAAAAGGGTTGTAAAAGGGTTGGCTGAATTCAATAAGTTGCCAAAGAACAATAAAGAATTAGATGATCTCAGAAATTTCAAACATTTATAATGAGAACAATAATCTAATGCTTAATATATTTGGCTAAACATTTTTTAGACTGACATTTGAATGAAATGTATAACATATATAGTTGAAACAAATATCAAACATATATAATAGTCGAACTGGTGATGCAACACCAACATAAAAACAACAAAAAATCTTTTATAGTATTCTCTTAATCTTAATGAGATCTTATTCAATTTTTTTTCATTGAAAAAAATGGTTTGGTGCATCCCTTGATATTTCAAGAATTAAATTTTTGGATGGTCTTTAATACTATTGGGTGAATTTGGAAAAAAAATTCTGGCTATCTACTCCTCTATTCTTATTTGGAAAGTGAAAATCTTTCAAACGAGGAAGAAAGTGATTGAATAATATATCAATAAAACTCTATATGCATAGATAAAGATCATGTATATAAGTTTCTTACAAGCTGGAGGAAAAAATTCATCCAAAACAACTACTTTCACATAGATATATGTAAATTGAATTAATATAAAATCACTTTATCAATTTATAATGGGATAAAAGACTATTGATATAAATTTAACTTACATGAAAAACTATCAATCTCCAGGTGTACTTCAAAACTTTAGGTGAAAACAGTTATCTTCAACTCCTCATCATCCCCCTTTTGAATAACTTTGAAAGACGATGCACTCATTCTGTACAAAGCATTTGAAAGTAGTTGTTTTGGGTGCCTTTTTTCCCGATTTTCCCGATGATTTACCTTTTTCGAAAGTTTCGTACTTTCTGTATAATGGTTTCAATATAGAAAGCTGAAAAGTTTTTTTCGGAAAACCAATCACCCTTGGAAAAATATACCATTTTCTTTTCATTGAAGTATTTTCTCGTTTTTACAATAGTTTTTGTAGAAGGGTCGAATCATAGCAGTGTTTTTTGTAGGTGTTTTATGACAGGGCTCAGTATACCAAACATATTAAGCAACACAATGCAAATAAGGTTTCCGAGTGTGAGTACTGCCAAAAACAATTCGACAAAGCGAAGAATTTGAGTGAACACATCAGGCTCCAACACAAGCAAGATGAAGAGAAGAAGAAGTGCTCTATTTGTGGAAAGGAGTTCATAAACAACGCTTTGCTCAAGAACCACGTTAAAACCCATGACAAATGTTTCAAGTGTCCACATTGTGATAGATTTTTTTCATCAAGGTGAATTTCAGCTACATTATCTCAATGGGAATCCATTTCTAAATAAAGCTATTTCCTAGATTTTGTTGGCCGTGGTTTACAGGATCATATGTCTAACATTTCATCTACAACTGAGGTGGACATAAAAAGTGATGAGGCAACAGAAACGGTGCTCTAGTTGTTCTCACAGCATGTACTTATACAGTAGTATTTTTGCGCAAGAAAGCTTATTCGCTTTAAACTTCTCTATCTTTATACAAACAATGCGGAAAAGTCACAAAGAAAGAAATACAGGAATAATTGATTAAACTATTTACAAAGATGTGTATATCATACACAGAAGTTTCTTTCAGGTTTCTTCAGGTACAAACTGGAAAAAAGCCCAGTCGAAACAACTACTATCAAACATATGAGCATTGAATCACAAGACAATCACTTTATCTTTTTCAGTAAAATTTCACGTACATGAAAATCCATCATCCTTATGGTGTACTTCTCGAAGTTTAAGATACCTAAATCTACACCAACGTCAGTTCAAAACTATCTTCGCAGATGACACAAGTCTGTTATCAGGAGGACTGGTTCAATAAAAATCAATTTGTACTAAATGAATTGAATCCACATATTTCTTGTTTGACGCCATTTCATTCTATGTTACCGACCTTTTGCAATAAAAATTTGTAATCTACTCTGAAATAAAGCTGTTTATTATTATTATTATTCTTGTCTTCAACTCCTCATCAGTGACTTTCTAAACTTCAGAAGACAAAGATATGCATTTCTTACATAAGATTATTACTTCATGTCACCTGAAAAGATAATTCTACTCTTGTTACAATGACAGTTCGTAAAAACTTGCATACCGTTATTTGATTTACTCTCAGCCATAGGATTTTTGTTGAAATTGAAAAAGAGATATGCAAAGAGTTTATTTTGACCTCAGTTACTTTCTTTTTTTTGAAAATTTACACATTGTTTATGTGAAGATGAAGCAAAAAGTCAATAAGCTTTTTCCCCAAACATTAATCTCTATTAAAAAATATTCCCCTTTTAATTTAGTAAAAGTTGCCTCATTGCCTTTGATAATACTTTCCCAGTTGTAAACGAAATGTCAGGCATAAAAACTGTAGCCCACTGCCATCAAACCCAGTTTGACAGTTTTTGATTATTCCTGAATAATTTATAGAATACTTATGTTTTCAGATATAACCTAGAGACTCATTCAGTTACACATTCCGGAGCCAGAAATCACAAATGCACCATCTGTGATAAAAGCTACAGTACAAAGAGTAGCTTGAAAAATCACATAGCGACTCACAGCGAAGAACGTTTGTTTCAGTGTGAGCGCTGCGCAAAGACATTCAAGACCTATCGCAGGCTCTACGTTCATAAAACTTCTCATGCCACTGAAGAGAAATATCAATGTGAAATATGTTTACAGAAATTCAGGTGAGTGAACATGCTCTAATTTTAAACTGCATTACGCGCATACAAGAACTGAGTAAAACTTTTCTTTTCTCACATTTCATCAACCAATTCAAGGTTAATATTTCAAATAATATAATCTAATATTTGAAGATTTTCATTGGTTCGGACTTCCATTGTCTAATATTATATAAAATTATTTGAAATCCCTAAAAAAACCAATACAAATGATAAAACAACAGCTGAAAATAAAGATTATATTAATAACAAAAACCCTGAAATAAAATACAAGTAAAAAATAGAACAATTGAACAAAAAATTGAAAATTAAGAGAGTCCAGATGACTGGACTAATTCCTCCAACATATGACTATTTATGGGTCATTCGAGTACTTTCACATGTCTCCTCTTTTCGCCTCACCGGTTTAGCGGGAGATGACCGTTTGGCGGAAGTTATCCATTTTTCACTTGATTATGGGTTTCCATATGTTGCGTATCGCTATGCAAGCTTGACTAAATACATTGTTGGACCACAAAAATGCAGCTTCTTTGATTTTCCTCCTAAGCCAGTGTTCCTACCTTAGTATGATCTCAGCTTGGGACCACTCAATGTTATGTTGATGGGTCCAAACATGCTCAGCTATTCCTGGTTTACTGGTTTCCCCTCGCTGTGTGTTTCTTGTGCTCGGCAATGCGAACTTTCAATGACCTCTTAGTTTCACCGATATAGGACTTTCTGCACTAACAGGGTATCCGGTAAATGCAATTCTTGCAATCACAGTCCGCGTTCGGTAGCCTGGTTTTCGTGAGGCTGCTACGGATAGTGTTTTCGGATCTGAAACAGGTTCTGATGTTGTACGTGGACCCAATTTTTCCTATCCTTTCCAGTAATCCTGTGAAGTGCAAACACTGGTTGTGACGGCTTCTCTTCCTTACTAGGCTTTTGCTGTCTTTTAGCCAAAGTCTGTTCCACCATCGCTTTGGAGTAGCCATTCCATTGAAGATCATCATCCTCATCATAATATTTGAAGAAATCGATAGTATTCCGCAAGGGAGTGTGTTAGGGTCATTATTATTTTTAATGTATATTGATTGATTGGGCCAGTTTCTGACCTCGCTGAAATATTCCAAAAAGTATTCAAAACAAGAATGTTAGCCTATTTTATGAAAAATAATTTCATAAATGAAAGACAATATGGATTTCAATAGTCTACTCAGTCTACTGAGTCTACTCAGGATGTCATAGCTTTTTTAACATCACAAATAACAAAAAACTGGACAAAGGAAAAAAAACTAGATTAGCAAAGCCGTTTGATATGGTGAGCCACTGTCAATTACTAAATGTCTTAGAGGATTCGGGCTCCAGAGGTATTACAAAGCAATTTGTAGAAAATTATCTGATGGATCAAAAACAGCAAGTGAAAGTTGATAATTGTACTAGTATAGAAAAAACTGTAACTTTCGAAGTCTCTCAAGGTACTGTATAAGTACCTTGAGTAATACAAGTATAATTTGTAGTGAATTTTCGCTCTTCCGATTTTTCTTTTGGCTTTCCATTCAATAGTTGGGAGCCATGTGCATTTCTCCCATGTCTCTGGAGATTACTGTAGCCTCATGGGCTTATTGCGCCCATTTTTTTCATGACACACATTCCAATAATATTGTGCCTTGTAGCACAATATCCTTTGCTAGATGTATACAATATTCTTCTGGGCAAAAATTAGGTTTCTATCGAAAACACTTTTTTTCAACAGAAAAAAAAGCTGCCTCTCGACGCACGTTTTGCTAACCAAGTAAGCATCATCAGAAGATGACGCAAATAGTTGAATTGTTGCTAACTTGGTTAGCGAAACACGTGTCAAAAGACTGCAATTTTGTTCTAGTGGGGAAAAGTTTTTTCAGTAGATTTATTTGACGCCAGAGATTCTAAATTCAACTTAATTTTGGTTGTCCATTAATTGTATGCCTCCTGTGATCCAGAACCTCGCATTCACATAAAATATGACAAGCAATTTCTGTTCCTTTGTTGTGTTGTCTCTTAATAGACACCGTGTGTGTTTTTCCAGTACTCTTCATTTCTCTTATAAATCCACTTCCCAGTTCCATTTCAAAGATTTTGGTACTATTATAGCTGGTTCCTATATTTGGAGTTGATTATCTGTGTCTAGCACATTCATCAGTGTTTTCATTGTCTCTGATACCTGAGTGTCCAGGCACAGAATCTGAAGTAAATTTTTTACAGTCCACTAGTTTTTTCAGTTCCTTACGGCATTCTCAGGCCAGTCTTAATGTCACTTTTGGGTTCTATGATGGAATTGGTCGATACTTGATGAAAATCCAGAACTAACATATTTAAAAAACACTTTATTGTGAGATTTTCACTAAACTTTTAGGTTCGTCAGTGCCCCAAGTGCAGTGACTGTCTGTTAAAATATTGATCCATTCATTTCGTTGAGGCTTCAAATTAATGTTCCTTGCTCATTTCAAAATTGCATACACTTTAGCATGTAAGACTAGCCATAACAGAACCTACAAGCTACGGCAATACAAATACAAAGATTGGAAGATTGTATATTATCCTCAACAAAAAATTATATTTGTCTAACGTGTATTATTTTTTTAAATGAAAGGGGTATATTTTTAGGGCAAATTGATGTTTGGGAAAGAATCAGCTACTTTCATATAAACATTGAATTACACGAAAGAAAAATATTTTCGAAACAAATACTTTTGTATTTCTGAAAGTTACTTTTTTGCATGCTCTACACATCTTTGTAGAGAGTTAATTTTTTGAAAATAATTCCTTCCTTTCTTTGGAAGATTCCTACATTCTTTCCCAAAAATTAATATCTCCTAAAAATATACCCTTTCAATCTAGAAATATGTTATTTGAAAAAGTTGCGTAGACATCGATTTTGACCCTACGTGCCCAATTTCAACATAAAATTCGAATTTCATATTCAAGTCCGACTTTCAAATAATCTAAATAAGACCCTACGATAATAACAAATTCGTTATAATGTAGAAATAAGAATGAAAAACCTAATATTAATTATGTATACATTCATTTCATTGATTTTGACTATTTTATTATTTTTATTGCTCAATATAAAGATTGTTAAAAAAAAATTAAAATTGCGAATTTTGGGCTAAAATTCGGTAATAAAGATGAAGAAGTAGATAGGCCAAAACGTGTCTTATTTTCTTCTTAACTTGACAGAGTTAGTTGGCTAGATTTGATGAATTTTAGAAAATGTGAACACTACGTGAGTTGATTTTTACAAGTATGCATAACAATTTTTATCTCATTGTATTTGTTTCTAGAGTTAAGCAATACCTCAAATACCACATGAACAAACATTCCAACAACAAACCGTTCGAGTGTACTGTATGCAAGAAACGATTCAAGCACAAAAAATCTAAAGAGAAGCACATGCTTATCGGCAAGCATAAATTCAAGGAAGAAAACGAGCACGACTGTGATTTTTGCGATGAAACTTTCCCCACTAGAGACTTACTTCTAGACCATTTTTCTGCCGTCCATCACGAGGAAAACATTATTAATAATCTAAGTGACTGCAAAGACGGAGATGAAAGTATGGATGTATTGGAAGAACCTGAGGAAATCGTTTATGCAAATACGGTTAAGGAAGAGTGCGTAGGTGAAGGTGGTATGTCGAGTAAAGCAGTCGATTTTGAAAATTACTATACGGGTGAGTCAGTTTCTGTTGAAAACTGTACGAATAATTTAATGGAGGTATAGGGATCTGATTTGCAGAGAGGGTATTTATTGATAGACCCAATTACAAAATATTTCTATAACTATTTCATTAATTCAATATGTTCAATATGTTAAACAAGAAATCAATGAAAATCTTATCATTTTTGTATCTCATACAGCTTGTGGACTATAGATTTGTTCTTATATCTTAAAGGCGGTTGAAGTGACAAAATGACTGACTTTTATATAAATAATGAATTGTCAAGTGCACCTCACCTTATTCGTTTTCTATATGACGGTATCAAAAAAGTCGGATGATATTTGACTAACTTCTGTTGGCTGATAAAAAAAAATTGAGTTGACTTCTTTGTGTGTTCGTCATTAGTATCAGTTGTCACTTCATTTATTTTTTTGTAATTATCTTCATTATCATTGATTCGATTAACTCCTAGTGAACTCTTGGTAGCCACTTCTTGAATCCAAAATCATGGGAAATAAACTGGAAACATAAACGACATACGACAACTGACACTAAGGACAAATACACAGAGTAACAAATTTGCAAACAATTAATTTATTTCAGACAAGATATTGTCCGACACGGTCCATTGAATTAAAGCCTGAATAATTTTGAGGATATTATAAAACCTCCAGGAAAGTTGTACATTAACATTATTAATGTTTTTTAGTTTGCATCACATATTTTATGATGACGCTGTTTGTAATGTATAACTTTGAGTAAATATCTGATATTGCATAAATTTCAAATAGAAACTTTCACGTCAGGTTTGATCCTATTGCCTAAATAAATAAAGTTTCAAAGAGGGTTTTTCATATAGATAGAGTTTATATTGTTACAACTTGCTGTTTCACGGGCCTGGTTGATTAGGTTCATATTTTCACTTTGTTTAATTTTTGTCGTTGCAACTCCCAGGAATATGGTGTTTGGAAATAATATTTTGCATAGTACTGTGAACTACTTATTATTTTCAAGTTTTCAATGCGTTTTCAGTTCTAAACAATTTTTTTTGTTAGAGTAATTAATCTTGTTCCTCTTTCCTTTTTAACTTATTCAAAAAAGCACTTCAATGTGAGATTTCAACTTGAAAGTTTATAAAACCGCGACATGTGTTTCGTTATTAGACAATAGCATCTTTGGGCGCTTTGTGATGTGGCTTAGTGTGACGCCCAAAGAGGATATTGTATAGCGAAACATGTGTCGCGGTTTTGTAAACTTTTAAGTGGAAATCATACATGTAACTATTTTTTTGAATACGTTATATATAATTTTCATCAAGTAATGATTGGTTCTATCATGTTTATGTTTCCTTTTTGTCTATTTCTTTTCATTTTGTTTATTTCACTGAGCAAGTGAAGCCTTTTGTAGTTAGTTGCTGCAGCTTCTATCATTTGCCATAGTTTCTTTATTATTACGTCAGCACTACTGTCAATGAAGTTATTTTTTATTATATTATTATTACTATTAACTTGAGTGATGAATACTTTGGCCAGTTGTTTTGCTTCACGTTTCTTGAAAATCGCCCTTAAATTTTTCATATTGTATTACAATAAGAAATTTCGGCTCCCAACCCTGCTCCCTTACATCAGAACTGCACATTTCACAAACAGGGTTGTAGTCGTCCTGATGACTCAACTTGGGTGGTGTATTAAGTTTTGGTTTCAAGGAGAAGTGTTTGGATTGGATTCATTCTATGTCAGAGGATCCAGATTTATGGGAAAGGTTTTATGTTTCTACTTCTCCATCTTCATACATAATAATGTGGGAATCTTCCAAAGAAAGGAAGAAAATCAATTAATTTCAAAATAAACTCTTTACGAAGATCTGTAGATCATGCAAAAAAGTAACTTTCAGATACAAACTGGAAGAAAACATTGAATTCGTAACAACTACTTTTATATGAACATTGTTTGGAGTTTGTATTCCAAACATTTGTTATGGAATTGAATCAGATTTCATTCACAGGATTCCTACACAATATAGTATATGAAAGAGGTAAAATTTCACTTACATGGAACACTGTTTTCCTTAATGGCGGATATCGATGTTTTTGGATAAAACACTTGCCTTATTGTCTCTTCAGCATAATCTGGATGTTACAAGATGAAGCACTCAATTTATTCATAAAGGTACGACTTTATGTCACGAATGTGTTAAATCTACTCACGTCATCGATGATAGTACATAATGACATTCATTTACTCGGTAGCCGGGTGGTTCGACGTGAGTGCTTTGTTCACTCAGTCAATTGGCCGATGTGTGAGACGATGGTTCAAGCCCCAGGTTGAAAGCTCGATTATCACTTGCTATCGTCCAACCCGTGTTAGGAATCACACTTTAAAAGGTAAGACCTGTTGATCCTTAGCTCGCACAAGTTTCGACTCCTGAAGGTTATCGTTCGTAGAGGTGAGATAGCTGGTCAACGGAAAAAACATGTTTTAAACATATTTAAACATATTTGATTTTCACCAAGACATAGGAAACGTGTTCAAATCGAATAGGATATATTTCTAGGAGAAAAGCAATCAATTTCAAAATTAACTCTTCACAAAGATGATGACTGTGTACCATGTAAGTGAAATCTTACCTCTTTCATTTACCTATCCTATGCGCGATACTTGATTCAATTCCATAACAAATGTTTCTAATACAAACTGAACAGGAAAAAATATTTGTACAATTCGATAATATAAAAATAATTGTTTCGAAATTATTCTTTCCTTCCTATACTCAATGTTTATACTTTTTTCTCCATGACAAAATTGTACTGTGATTTTATCACTATATTATTGTATTGCGTTTCATATTGTATTATGTATTCATTGTATTTATTATCTTTAATTTGGTTAAGATTTTATAAATCCTTTTTTTTATAACAAATTGTAATTGGGACTACCCGTTGAATAAATAAATGAATAAAAATAAAAATGAAGTAGTTGTTTCAAGAGGATTTTTTCTTCCTGTGTCTGAAAGTTACTTCTTTGCACAATCTCACATCTTCTAAAGATTTTACTTTCAAATTAATTGCTTTTCTTCCGTTTTTTGGAAGATTCCCACATTCATATGTTCAGAGATGGAGAAGTAGGTAGCCAAAACCCTTCTCTCCCAAGAATTATTCTCTTTTAAAAATATGCTCCTTTCAATTCCAGATTTACCTTGTTTATAGAGATTACTCGTTCACCTTTCTGTTTTAGGTTGTGGAAGGTTAGAAAACCATAAAAAGATCTTTAAAAAATGATTTCATGAATGTTCTTGAAAAAATCTTATTTTACAGTTTTCAGAATTGAATGTAAGAGTAATAGTAGAATAAATCCAATGTTATTTTCAGTACACATCAATTATTGAATGTCTGAATTTGAGTTTATAAATAATGAAGTGCTGATTGCTGAACCTTTTCGATAAATCAATTACTGTTACTAATATGCTCATATTCATCCAAAAACATATTATTTTACCTCAATCGCGCCCTTGTATAAATGAATATAAATATATGTGAATGAAAAATATATTGAGTTAACTAATTTAGTGATCAAAAAAAAATTTATTCTTGGTAACTGAAAAATGATATGAGATTTGGAATGTTCGTTGAAAAAGTACATCTGCGAAAAAAAAACAAAAGTCAGTCATCTTGGAAACTGAGTTAGATCCCAATGTGTGCGAATCAAATTGTAAAAAACGTTTCATATGTATAAAAGTGTTGAGAGAGTTATAGGTATGGCACCTCTCATTTTTTTGGTTTTTTTCCAGAACATGTTGATTAAGTAAATATTTTCTTCAATAATTTGGTCTAGGAAATTAATTCAGACATTCTCGCTGTGAATCGAATCTTATTAGTTGATATTATATTCTTAGTTTTAGGCTAACCAATGAGTAAATGTATTCCTGTTTGAAAAATAAAGTTTTTCAAATGTGAAAAAAAGTTATGCATTTTTTTTTCTATTCTGCCTGAGCAAATGGAAGTTAATGAGCCAGTCCATCTAGGCCTAGAAAATAATAATAAAAACAATGTATTTTCCCAATAAACTTGCAATATTTGTTTAAATAAAATATTTATGTTTCGCTTGCGTTTACGCAGTTATTTTTGTCAAGTAATTTTCTTGATTATTGACATTTTGCTTTGCTATTTGGTAGGTAGGAGTTCCTACCTACCCTATGATTATAATGAAAATTGAAATGAAGTAAGTAATTTATATACACAAAAAAATTAATTGTGCAATAAATACTTATGATGCACTGTTTGGAACCTTTGGTGTAGTAATGAATATTACTGGAGTTTTTTCCCCACCACACCAAATCGTTATTTTTAACACCTCGACACGTGTTTCGATCACCAAGTGATCATCTTCAAAGAGGAAGATTAAAACTAGAAACTAGTACGAGCTAATCCTACGTATGCTATAAAGATAATCCATACAGGTAAACCATCCAGGCGTACCAACCATACAGGTATACCAACCTAAATTGTGCAATAAATGTTCAAATTGGAGTCCTTCCATTTCGAGATAAATAATGGGACAATGAAATGGTCTGCAAGATCACCAGATCTTACTATTTTGGACTATTTTCTATAGGGGACATTGAAAAATAGGATTTACGCTGGCAGAGAGATAGAAAATGTGGAAGACTCGAGATTGATGATTTTGAATGATTTCGCAACAATGCAGCAAATAAGTCTATTAATTGTAGTAAATAATATGCCTTGGAGTGAGCCCATCCTGGAAGATTCTGCCAGAAGTCCATGAATCTTCTTGCCTTCCAGGAGTTCAATGTTTGTTTGGCAAAGCCTAAAGCGATGCCAATGACAGGTTCTGGTCCGATGAAGCTGCTTGCTGCACCCTCCTTTGCAAGGGAGTCAGCTCTTTATTGCCTTCCAAGCCAGTATGGCCAGAAATTTGTTAAGTCTTCCTAAGAGGAGAGTCGTTTCTGACAATTTACTACCAACTCAGACATTGCTCGGTAAGAGCCTAAAGATTCCAACGCTGCTTGACTGTCCAAGAACATTTTTATTGACTTGTGTGTGATGTATTCTACCAGTCTCTCCGCACACAATTTCCCCGTGAAATACAGTCGCATAGGTACCTGGGCAGGTTGATATCTCTGTCCTGAAATCACCTGCTCCAGATCCCTAAGGTGTTTGTGATCCATTTGTGAAACAACAACTGTCTGCTCTTGAAATTTCCTTCTCTCGGAGGATCCAATCGTCTCTTCTTGGGAAAGTACTGTAAAAGGGAGTTCGTAGTTGACAGTTGAAGGCATAATGTCAGAGGTCATTCCCAGAATGCTGTGACTTCCAGTGTCAGCCAGCAGTCTAGTGTACTCTGCATTAGATTGCTTTGTGCAATTGGCGATGGGCACAAGTCTATATGCAATCCATCTAGCCTCTCTCCAGAAAAATGTGGAGAGGAGGTAGTTCTAGAAGGATCTCCATGGCCGCTGACGGTGTGGTACTGATAGCACCACAGATAGCCAGACAAGCCTCTCTCTGTAAAGCCTTCAACCACCAGGCAACTGCCCCGTAAGTGATCATTGTCTGACTCATCACATATATCCAATGGATTTGTTTGGAACCTAAATCCCAAGTAAAAACTATTTCCAAATGAACGTTCCAGGGAATTTTTCTCTACAAGGTTGTTTAATGCTAAATCTGTCGATTTGCCGATTTGATAAGCATACTGGTGGTTATTCAGGAGGGATGCATATAACGCCACCCTCTTGATGTGTCCATCCAGTATCCTCCTAAGTCCTAAATGCTTTATAAAGCTCAGGTCAGACATTTTTTGGAGTATTGTTTTCATGTATGGAGTTCTGCCCCCCAATCATACCCTGAAGTAGCTGGATTCCATCCAGAAAAGAGCCATCCGCCTGATTGGAGACATGAACGTCACGTGCAACCTTGATAGCCTGGAACATCGAAGAAAGGTTGGAGATTTGTCTCTCTTCTATAGATACTTTCATGGGAAATGTTCAAGTGACTTGGCACATTTGATTCCACCAAGAGCGATACATATCAGAAATACGCGACGGACTGTGGCTGCTCATCGTTTTGAGGTTCAACTCAATACACCTCGAACTTCACTGTTCAAAAACTCTTTCATATGGAGAACTGTGTTTATGTGGAATAAACTTCCTGAGAACCTTTTTCCAAATGGATTTAATCTCCAGCGATTCAAATCCAATGTGATTCACTACTTTCGCACAGGCACCGCTCTGAGAGCGCCTTAAGGATTTTCCTGTAGTGCTTGTGTTTTGTCCTTGAAAAAAATTACCAGGTATAACAATATTAACCAATCTAATTCTGGTAGGCAAGTAACACTGAATACAATACAACTGCCCAAGCTGAAAGTTTTAAATAGCTAGGTCAAGAATATGGTTTTCGAAGGGGGAAAATGATATATTAAAAATTTGAAGGTTATTCAAAGAGTTAGCTAATCGAAGAGTTCTGGGGATAAAGCTGTTGTATGAGTAATTGAATCTGTGAAAAGAAACAATAGGTTTGCACCTGCCTAGTTGAAGGATTGGGGACCAGTAGAGATAATTTGGAATGAAGCTCGGGGCTGGTACATGAAGAGATTCAATAGCAGTGTTGTTGTTTCAGAAGCAGAGTGTAAGGTTAGATTATTTTTACTTTATTATTCAATTGGGTTGTGTTTGATAACAGCGAAAAATATGGCATTTGGATGAGTACACCAGTTAAATAGGCTATATAGTTTTGTAGAATCAATGTGTCGGCAAATTAGATCGTTAATGAAAAGGTTGAACAACAGTGGTCCCCAATGTGCTCCTTGTGGAACATCCGATGTAACTGCGATAATATGAGAATAGTAAAGATTAACCCTGACAATTTGCATTCTTACCGTAAGATAGCATCAACGCCATATAAACAAAGTTTACGAATTAAGAGCTCATTAAATGGTTCTTGTTGCCTTTTTGCGACTTTATAAAATGTGGACTTATGTTGCTCGATTAGATCCTTAAATGTATATCTACTTGTGTGAAAAAATCCTTTTCACATGAATATGTTGTGGGGAAAGGCATTCACTGCTGCATTTAGCCAAAAAAATTGTTAAAGCAAGTCTCTTTCAACATTTTGTTGGCTTGTTCTTCAGCAATTGAAACATCCATATCAAATATAGATCAGACGCTCAAATTACTTCATTGGAAGCTCTAAAAATGAAAGTTGTGTGAGCTTTTGTATGAACTTGCTGATTGTTTTCATTGCACATTTCTGTAAAAAGCTCATTCACACCATTATTCTCTATGATTTTATTTTTTGATTATTTGCATATTGTGTATGAACCCACAGTTGTCTGGAGGAATCGGGTTGAGAAACTACTGAAATGATACTAAAATTGATAATCAGAAATAGAATGCATCTTTGTAGGGAGAGATGTCATCACCTTTACTGATACTCATATGTCTAATGTTTTTTGGTTTCTATAGATTAATGCCAAAACCTTTCCTTCCCGAACGATACCCCTTTCAATTCAAACAGTATTTTCATTATGGTGGAGGAAGTGTTATCAAGTCTATTACCATGTTGAGATATTTTATTTCATTTCCTCATAATCTAATTTGAAAATGCATTTCATAACTTCATTCTGTAGTATTTTCAATGGTTTAGGAAGGTCATTCGATGCTCGATGCCGCCCCACAAATACTGCAGTTTTGAATGAACCAAAGAGAAATACATTTTAAATATTTCAGATTTTTTTGTATGAAGATGGAGAACTAGAAAGCCAATACTTTTTTTTTCCAGAAATTAATCTATCTTGAAAATATGCCCCTTTCAATTTGAACAAGATTCCTATGACTGAGAATAAATCAAATAAACGGATGAATGTCATTTTATACTATCATTGATGACATGAGTAGATTCAACTCACTCGTGACATGAAGTCGTAATTTTAGAATCATTTGAGTGTTTCATTTCTTCTCCAGAAGAGACAATAAGACAAGTGTCTTGTTCCGAAACATGACGTATTCCATGTAAGTGAAATGTTTACCTCTATCACATACTATATTGTGTAGCAAACCTGTGAATGATATCTGATTCAACTCCATAACGAATGTTTGTATAACAAAATGAATAGGAAAAAGTGTTTTTTGTATAATTCAATGTTCATATAAAAATTGTTGCTTTGAAAGTATTTTTTCTTTCGTGTAATTCAATGTTTATATGAAACTATTTGTATTGAGAGGGCTTTTTCTTCCAGTTTGTGTCTGACAGTTACTTCTTTGCATGATTTATGCATCTTTGTATAGAGTTTATTTTCGAAATAATTGCTTTCTTTCTTTGGAATATTCCCATTTTTTTGCATGAAGTTGGAGAAGTATAATGCCAAAACCTTTCCTTCAATTCAAACAGTATTTTCATTTTGGTGGAGGAAGTGTTATCAAGTCTATTACAATGTTGAGAAATTTTATTTCATTTCCAAGGATGGTTAGGAATACTAATTTTTCACTAGCCAATTATGTTCCGGACTTGAGGTTTTAAATGATGAAACACTTTTGTTTAAATTACGGTTTTATTTCAGGGTGTAAGTTTTATTCAATGTTACTGATATGAAATGGTAAAAATACATTTTCAACAAAATAGTTCAGACACATGTCATGTCGACTGAATTTGTGTTGAAACATTCCTAGTAGAAGAATGATAACATCAATTGGATTTCTAGAATTTGAAATAAGAAGGTGTTATAAATAAGGCTCTTCATAGTTTCGTACATCTTCGGGCCCCACTAGATTCACTATACCAATAAACTAATTTATTAATTCGATGCTATTTTGTGTATTTCAAAAATATAACAATTCAAAAAGGCCCTAATTTCAATTCACTTTTCTATTGGTAATATCTAACCTAATATTAAAACTATTCTGATATATAAAAGGGACATAGAAAAAATATTTATAATAACTATTTATAAAAATAGTTGTTCGTTGGATATGTCATATTACTTAAATACAGTCTCTATATTACACATAACTAATTTCTATTTACATTTAAACTTTCAATCAAAGAATGTCATTTTTTCATTTATACTTGACCAGTAGGTTTTCAAGTATATTGAAAAAACAGAGGGAATGAAAATATCAAACACCATACAAAAAGTAAGGTAATATTACACAGAATTTTTGATAAACAACATATTCCTGGAACCAATACAGTTTCAGAAAAGTATCAACGAGGAAGACAAAGAAGTCACAGACACACGAAGTATTTTTATCTGAGCGATTCAACACAGATATTTCTATATTGAAAATACACTTCAAAAATTTGGGCAAATATTTTTTGCCTGAGCATTGCAGCATAGTCATTTCTATGTCAAGAGAGGTGAATATATCATTGAAATAAAAACAGGTAATGGAAGACAGTCATTTCATATTATTCACGTTCCAGTTGGTCAATAGTTGTATGGTCCATATGCTGCTGATCCCGTTGTATAATAAGGTCCTGCATAAGGCTGCTGCTGGGGTTGTGGTACTGGATAGCCGGCATAGGCATACTGTTGTTTTTGTGGGTACACTATAAAACAAAGGTCACCATTATCTTTTTAGGTTCTGAAAAATCTTCCTTTATGAAATGGTTAAAAAAAAACTAAGTTATGAATTCTTTCATAAAATTATAAAATGCCAACTTCAATTTTAGTCACATTTTTTGAAGTTTTCCTTAATTTTTGAATTGCCTTTAGACTGGTCAGGATTGCTATTGGATCTTTCATGAAATTAAAATCATAAATGTAAAGATCTTTTGCCTAACCGAAAAAAAATATTTTTCTGATGTGGAAATTTTAACTTTTGGAGTACAGAAAAATCACAAGCTTTGAAGGTGTTTTTTTATTTCTAAAAGTAATAATATGGTTTTGAATATTTCCAATATGAATCAGTAATCTAATGATTTGAGTTAAACCTTGTGACTGGAATTTGAATCCAAAATTAATATTATAAATTAGCACATAAAATAAGTAGGCATATAACAGTTTCACTATTTATAGATAGGTATTGAAATAATAAGGGAACTGTGGATTTTCTCATTCAAATCACTTGCTAATTTTTTGTATTTCCGTATTTCGTTCATTTTGTTACCAATTAGTAAAGCATTTTCAATGTTGGTGGCTCTATACACATATTTACAATGTTCGTTGATGTCATTTTAATCAGAAGAAAATTCTTTTGCAGTTGAAAAGAAGACAGTTTAGTTGAGGAGAAAGTAAATTAGTTGTCCAGGAAGGACGTTTTGTTAAGAAAAAAGTTAAGTCATAAAGACAAAAAACACAAGAAAATTAGAAAACGATATCAAGCATAATAAGACAGCACAAAATAATAGAAAGATACTTTAATTGAAAAAAGTGACTATAGTATTTTGAATAAGCGATAATAACAGTGATAAACATAAAAAACTATTTGCATTTTGTGCTATTCTTATAGAAAATATCATGGTAAATAACTTGAGTGTTTTTAGAATAAATTTAGACATATTTCTGTAAGCTTAAATAAGCAGTTAAGCCGGAAATTGGGATGATTATGATTATTTAATTTTCATGAATTTAGAATATTGGTATTAAATGGGAACACACATATTGGCAGAATGAACTTTGACATGTATATTACACAATTACCACCAGATAAGATTCAAGAGGATCTGTTTTTTAAAATCACTTATTGTGATTCCAATATACTATAGAGAAAAATCAAAATCACAATAATTTATCGTCATTCTTGTGATCTGTGGTATAATTTTTTGTACCTAACGTTTCATCTACAACTGCGGCAGACATTAACAAAATCGGTGATCTACTTGTACTTGCTGCCCATACAAGTACTATATCATTGTTCTGGATTATGATCTTCGGTTTTATTCCAGATGAATTGACGTGATACATGCGTCAGACTTGATTTATGTTAATTTCGCCTTTTAATCCGTTAAAATTATCTGCGTTTCTGGCTTTTTATCACCTCCCTAAATGTAAACTTGGATAGTAGCATTGGATTCTATTGAAGATCGAAGCCATTGACACCCGAAAATGAAAAAAAATCAGTTCCTTTTTATTTATATTAAACTTTGAGTAAACAAATTGTATTTTCTCATTATGCTGTTGAGAGAAGAACTATACTGTGGTTCATTATGAAAACAAGAGTTCACTTGTATTCTCAACTTAATCCTTGGTACATGAAAATCTGTATTTATTCAATCACAGTGTCTTAATATTACTGGTATTCATACCGTAACGTTTTTGACATATTAGGTGGGCTGAAAAGTTCGTAGGCTAACACACACCACTAATAGTATTGAATCCATATTATTTATTGTTAACCCTAACCTTCAAAACACACATGTATAGTCGAAGTAAACGGTATTGTGCATACTTAAAGGTGTCGGCGCTCTCAAAGGCCAAAAAACCAATACAGAGAAATGAAGCAGCTGCCAGCTAGTCCACGTCGACTGAAGAATTGGCGGTTCGTGTCGTGTTGTCAATGTTCAGTTCCGGAGCTGATCGCGATTTGAGTATTGAAATTCGCTATTGGTGCAGATATAATTACTTAAAAATTTTGTTATCTGTTTAAAATGTGGCATCCTTGAACAAGTACTAAGAGTAATAACAACGCTGACTTTTTCTGTGTAGTGATTCCAACAGTGATGATGAACAATGCGAAAAAGAAATAACAGTGCATAAGATTCGGATACATTTGAATATTTAAACACAGAGAGTATGTTTCAATGTTTATAAGAGTCTACATCTCAAGTTTGGTTTCGAGGGAAACAAACAATTACAAGCAACATCAGATTTGACCGAAATTCCTTTCTCAACTGTACGTAAAACAAACCTTATGAACGCAAGACGCGATGTGATACGGGATTACCAAAACCTTTAGATGTTCATCTAATAAAATCATTGAAAAAAACAATATACTACTGTACAAAAGCAAAATGAGATTCCTACAACAGAAATCATAAGGAAGAAATTGAATACTTTCGGCCATAACGTGTGCTGCTGTGACAAAACTCTTCAGAATTGGATAAAGAAACTAGGATTTTGATTTAAAATAATAAAAAAACCTCAAGCAGTTATGGAAAATAGAAGAATAGTGGAATTGCTTAACAAATACTTAGAACAAATAACCAAATATAGACAAGAACAACGGCAAATTTTCTATTTGGTCGAAACTTGGTATGACACTCACGACACAGTTACGAAAGGGTGGACTGATGGTTCGAGAATGTGTACCCCTAACATGCCCGCAAACAAAGGATCGCGACTAATCATTGTGCATTGCGGAGGAACTAAAGGATGGATTCCGAATTCTTTGAAATTATGAGAAAAAAAACTTGAGGACTGCAAGGTTGACTATCATAAGAACATGAAAGCAAATATTTTTGAGGAATGGTTTGAAAACACATTGATCCCAAATTTGGATGCGAATAGTGTAATAGGTCTTGACAATGCTTCCTATCATTCGCGACAGCTCATCAAAGTACCGAATAAAAATTCGAGAAAAGATTAAATACAAAGTTTTTTAATGGATAGCAATTTGTATTTTGAAGATAACTATACGAAAAACCAACTACTTGAAGTTTTACGGACAAAAACATTTGAAAAAGTGTATGCCTTGAGAGTATTGCTGAAATGTATGGACACACCATACTGAGACTTCTCCCTTATTTTTGTGTTTTCAGTCCCATTCAGCTGATTTGGGGAAAATTAAAACAAAGCATCAGGCGTAAAAATAATTTTCCAAAATTTGATAAGAAGGTAATAAAACTAGTTAAAGAAGAAGTATCTGATAATTCCAAAGAAGAGTGGCAGAAAAGGATTTAACTCTTTGAGTGGCAAATTGGTAATTCTCAATTTTTTCATAATTTATTGGTTGGTAACCCTTTCAAATGAGTATGTGAGGAACATCAAATAAAATATAATTTTTTTCATTCATTCCAACCCCTAAAAAAATTGGGGGTAGAGCATGGATACCACTCTTGGCATACTACCTTTCCGCAATAAATGTTAAATTTGTGAATAAATAAGGTTTTACTTTCACAAAAAGCTCAGATTAAAATCGTATATATCAATTTTAGGAAGAATGGTAACGAATAAAGCAGTTTTCCCCTTCTGTTCCCCCCAGACACAATGGTAGCTTGCAAACGGTACACATCCAACAGGTACGTTTTTGTTTGACTTCGGAGCTGCAATGGGCCCATCGGCGTTTCGTTGTTCTCACTGGCATATGTGCAGCTTTATCAGTTCGTAGCTCCATTGGAATGAAAGGTTTATGGCAACGTCTTGGTATCGGATGGTATCGTAACCACCATCTACGACTTTTTCTATCAATGGCATAATAAGATTTGAACATATCACTGAGATCTACAGCACCCATGTATTTGTTGTAATCCTTGACAATTTATGTGCATGCAACTTAGATTTGTCCTCCTGTTCGCGTCTTTCTTGTGACTGTTGATGAAACAGTACCGTCGTGACAGTTTTAAATCAATTGAACAGGCTTTTTGTCTTGCCATTGCACAAGACCTTCGTGCTTGTATGATGAAAGAGCTACGCTAGATCCTCTTTCGGAATTATTCAGAATTTTTCTTGGTAAACCTTTCCGATTTGATCATATGGTAACACAAGCTTATATTCCATCGTTCAAAAGATTTACCATCAATGGAATACTAGAAAAAAAATTATCAAAATAGATGAAGTAATTTTTTCCAACTAAATCTCTAGTCAAGTCGGTTGCAACTCGTTCACCTAAATTTAGTTCTGGATTACTACCAATTTTTTCTGTGTACACTTGGAATTGACATACATAGCCATATTCGTCAGCTCGGACCCAAATTTTAAATCCTCGTTTGGTGTGTTTCAATGGAACATATTGTTTCAATACAGAACGGCCTTTGAATTTGACCATACTTTCATCAATACTTTGATGACGCGTAGGTCTGTATGTTGATTTGAATATTTCGGAAAGCGTGTCCAGCACAGGTCTGATCTTATACAATTTATTGTAGTTATCATCACCCTGTCTTAGCATCATATGATTGTCATTTGCATGAATATGGGAAAGCAGCCAGCTGAAACGCTTCAATGGAAGAAATGAACTTATATATTCATCTCTCAATTGAATGTTACCACTCCAATAATCTTTATATTAAGGTATCTTCGTGATATCCATCATTATATTAGCGGCTATGAATTTTTTTATTTCTGTGATTATCGTTGGCTGGAATGGTTTTTCAGCTTGGGTTGAAAATAAGTTTGTCTGAAACACTGAATGTTCAAATAAAGTATCTGGAAAAACACTGAGAAAATGGTCACATGGTGTCACTACATTATCATCCAATATTGGCCCAGTAGTTTCCGTGAAATCTTTCAACTTAGATTGTATTTTATTTTCCTCCCAAATCCCATCCAACCGTTTTTTCATCTCTGATAATGGCTCGTTTGAGTCTGACTCTGAAGATCCATCATCTTTCCGTTCGAGTTGTTCAAACTCATGTTCCTCCTCAGAACCATCATTCGACCTATTCATATTACCAATATTCAAAAGGGAACAATCGCCATTTTCCGTTACATCGACATTCATTTCATTAGCTTGAAATGAACAAGTTGGAATATCACAGATGCTAGATCGATCATTGGTCTCAAGTAATGGAGATTTGCTCATTCTTTGTACGTCTTTCAGATCGATTCCAGTTTCGCTCTGAAAACATTTCACCAGAGCCAACTCTGTGTAAGTCAGGTCTTCACTACTATCTGAATCTAAATCTGATAGCTCAGACTCTGAACCCGAAGGTAATTCAAATCCTTCCATAATTTCATCATATGAAAAATCTTGGATATCATTGATAGATAAAACAGTATTTCTTCTAATTATCTTAATTTTCATTGCTAACTATGATTCATTCTGAAAACGAAAAAAAAAAATTATCATTCAGAAAGAACCAACTTTTCTGTGATGAACTTATCGAAAGAAATCATATGGTATACGTATAGGCAAATTAGGTGCAGTGGTAACTTTAGGTACCACTTTCTAGATGGTCACAAAAAATAGACTGAATTGTGGATTACGATTCACTCATATCATAGTAAGTAGACTATGATAACACAAATTATATCCTAGAATTTCACTCACCTGCAAAAACAAATCCTAACACAAAACTTATAAATATGAATTTATGCGCGAAAATACCGTCTAACCTCACTTCCCTTCTTTCAAGTTGTACGAAAGAAATGTTTACAGTCCGAATTATTCCGAACGAAAAATATTTCGATACGAATACATGCTTGAGATCACAATTGAACTGGTTGCAAAACAATACCACTACCACGGAAATAGTAAATAAATTCAAAAAAGGAGGTACCTAATAGATACCACGACAACTCAAAGGGTTAAAAAGTAATTTTCGTTGAAAAAGACTTCCACCACACTAATGGTGGAAATGAATTCATTTTGATTTAAATGACGACAGTGATAGTGAAACAGAATATTAGTTAGCTCCTAACTATATTATTAAAGGGGCGCTGTTGCAAGGTAGGTTGCACTATATCGTTTACTTGAACTATACTAATTTCATAGCTGGATTATTAGTTTGTGAAATAGAACATTTTGAGTGAAGCAACTTTTGTTACTTTGAAGAAAATGGCGAAAAAACAAAAATGTTGAATCCAAGGCTTGCCTTGATAATCATTATTCAGACTTTGCACCAGAACAATCAACCGTTGTGAAGTAGTTTAAACGAGATGAAATGAGTATCGAGGATGATGTACGCAGTGGACGCTCTAAAGAGGCTGTTACCGACGAAAACATAAAAAAGTCCACAAAATAATTTTCGATAACCTCAAAGTGAAGTTGATCGAGATAGCTTAGGCTATGAAGATATCAAAGGAACGTGTTGAACATATCGTGTATGAATATTTGTGTACGCGAAAATTCTGTTCAAAGTGGGTGCCGCACGAGCTTACAATTGATTAAAAACAAAAACGAACAGATGATTCTGAGCTGTGTTTGAAGCTGTTTTAGCATAAAAAACCTGAATTTATGCGTCGATATGTGACAGCGGATGAATCATAGCTCCATTCATTTCACACCAGAATCAAAACGAACGTCATCTGAGTGGACTGCACGTGGTGAACCGCAAAGGCGCAACAGTCGGTCGGCAAGGTTATGGTATCAGTATTTTGAGATGTGCATGGTATAATCAGCTATCTTGAAAATTGAAAATCCATGAAGAACAACTTTTACAAAGCGTTGGAGCGTTTGAAGGACGAAATCGCGGAAAAACGATCCCATTTGAAGAAAAAGAAAGTGCTGTTTCATCAAGACAATGAAAACGATGGCAAAATTTCATGAATTAGGTATCGAATTGCTTCCGCATCCATCGTATTCTCAGATCTGGCTCCCAACGACTTTTTCCTGTTCTCAAACCTCAATAGAATACTCGTTGGAAAGAAATGTAGCGCCGTTAAAGAATTAATCATTGAAACAGGCCATTTTAAGGCTAAAGTTAAATCGTACTATAAAATGCTATCGAAAAATTGTATGACTGAAACAATCCTAACGCCCTCGAAGGCAACTAATTTGAATAATGAAATCAAATTTTATCAATTTTTTTTCTATATTAGCCAATACTTTTTCTGGATGATAATGCCAATTCAATTTAATCTTTACTCCCTGTAAATTTAGTACAGGAGCGAGCCTACAGAGGAGATGGATGTCGAGTTTATGACTCCAAAGGATCTCCTTGTAAATTCAGTTGAGGAGCGAGAGCTTCTCAACTCCCCAATTCCTGATCCAACCTTAAGAAGAAAGGTTTGGTGGTGCAGCCAGGAAACGACTGAGTCGTCTCCTCAAGAACGGGGTACCTTATAAAACCGCTTTGCACCAAATTCTTGAGCGGCGTGCGCAGAATCTGTCTCAGGTGGAGGAACAAACCCCCCCATGAGCAGGTTAGCAAACGTTTGCGCTCAAGTGATGATTCACCAGAAGCAGAGGCGAAAAAGTCCTGCACGGCTGAATCTAAGGCATCATCAGGTGTAGCTGACATGCAAAAACCCTCATATGGGAAGGTTGTCGTGGGTATCAAGGTGGGATTCTTGCAACTTAACTATCCAACTACCTCATTAACAGAGTATATACTTTGTGCCTGCCCTGCTGGGGCCGAATCAGGTCTTTAGAGTTCGGCAGAGCCAAACTCTTACCATCAAACCTGAAAGGTCACTCACCATACAAATTAATCGGCTTCGTTAAGAAGCTGGGTTTCTTTGGCCGAGTGTAAATAGGTGTCAGCCACAATAAACCCTTGCGGGTTGCGGTGGAGGGTCGAATGGACCCACTCAATTTGGTCCTAACCTAACACCCATTTCATTTGAAGGCATTCTTCAAATGTTTCAGTTCCTCGGAGCAATGTTTTGGCTGACATATGCGTCAAGCATACTGCATGATTGAAAATTTCATTTAAATACACCGTACACTCTTCACCTCAAGTTCCATCTCCATATATGTTCACTAGTATTCTAATATTTTCAAATGATAGTTTCTGCCAATATATGTGAACTCTCAGTAGTTTACATTATGAAAAGTATTTGAACAAAAAGTTTCTGAATATTTTATAGGTAACTCTAGTCATTTTACACAAATGAAAAACTACATAATCAATCTGTTTCAGAAACTTTTCGCTATTCAATGAAAATGTCCCCCAAAAGTTACCAGGCATTAGGTACTGCATGTTGATAGCCTCTTCGCGTTCCCTCTCCCCTCGCAGACACATGGCGGCTCCAGAGAACAAAATTGCTGCCACCAAAGACCACCCGACGCCAACCCAGGCTACCATGTAGCTCCAATCGTAATTGACTCGGGTGTGATCCTGGAGCACCTAAAATTTGAAAAAAATTAAAGTAACGAACCTGGCATTATATACTGGACGTTGTTCAGGTTCTCCTTCTCTCTTTCGTTGTCCAAGCAGCAGGAACTGAAGAAAAATAGAAATGACCCTCCTAGGCAGGAAAAGACACCCAGCCAGGCGAGGACGAAACTCCAACCGTAAGATATGTCACTGTTTTCTTGAAGGATCTGTTTGGTAATTGATGGAAAATTCAACTCTTTAATTGTTTTTGTGTCGATCAGTCAAGTATAATTCAATTCAATTAACTTTATTGTCAAAAAGAAAACATGCTTATAATTAGGCACTGTGTCTAACTATCTGCAAAATACTGTAACAGTAAGAAAGAGAAAATATTTTACAAATAACACAACAGTTAACATACCTAAAAAAACAGTGCATTCTGAAAAAAATTATAAAAGTAGTTATTTTGAAACTACTATATCTTTCGAGTAATTCAATGTTTACATGAAAATACTTGTTTCGAGGGAGCTTTTTCTTCCAGTTTAAGTCTGAAAGTTACTTCATTGCATACATCTTTGCATAGAGTTTATTTTGGATTTCATTGTTTTCTTCCTTTCTTAGGGAGATTTCCCCTTTTTTAATACATATGAAGAAGTAGAAAGCCAAAACCTTTCTTTCTCAAAAATTAATCTCTCCTAAAATATAATTTTGGAGTTTTTTGAGTTTATAGAGCGAATTCCAATGAATAGTTTGGTTTATTTAAGCCTTGGCTCCAAATTGAATCATTATGATTCAGGAAGGAAATCAGTTGCTTTAATTACAATTAATGACATGATTGTAGAGTGATAGAAGATATAAATATTTACTGACTCTATTATAAACTTAATTTCTTTTGAAATGATGTTGCAAACCTAATAATTTTTAGAAATTATAATGAACTCAGAGTTGGTAACGATGATTTCAAAATTTATACGGCTCCTATAAAACATAAGTAATGAGAAACATTCCTAGACAGGAAGGAAATATTGAAGAAATATATTAGTAAACAAATCATTTGAAACATTTACTTCCTCTTATTGGTATTTATTATACAGAAATAACTTTCTCTTTCTTATTTTTTACATGGAAAGATCATAAAGAAAAATAAAACGAATATAATTCCGGAGAATGTCGTATGTCAGGGAATTAATTGTTTCAAAGATAGACATTTTCTTTCAGTTTGTATCTATATAATACAAAAATCTGTGGATATTCTTCATAAATTTGTTACCATTCTTTATGTGATCATGTAAAAACGAAAACAAAACAAAATTCATAAAATTCACCTCTACAAAAATATATATTTTCTTACAATATATACAATTCCTATAACTGGGCTCAAAATTACTATATTCAATTAGATATAAACTCGTAATACATAATTTTAGTATAAAAAAAAAGAATTCACGTGACCGATTAACCTGGTAATTACTAGATTTTGACAAGGAATCATTATTTTGACCATGAAATTTATATAACTCATATTCGTCTTGTTGAGGTCACTGTTCTGAGAAATGTATGAATAATGTACTAAGAAGGAAAGCTGTATATACCTTTATTAGTCATATTAGGAAACGCTAGTTGAAGTTCCAGAAATTCACATACATTTTTGCTACCTCCTGAATATTTACTACAAAGTAAAGAAGTGAGGATTTTTCCAGCAAAAGATTTACAAACACAAGACGAGATAGACTGTACAGAATCATTCAATACAGAACGGTCAGGAGTATTGATTCTGCTATTGTTTTGCTCACGAAGGGTACCTATTCAACAAGAATTCGGAACAATCCTCTTGTTAACCTAAGAGTATCTAGTGGAATTCAAAGACTCGAGGAAATCGGTTGGAGGGAAAGATGATGTATTCTTCTTCTGCATGAACAGGTGTTTGAGTTTGGTGAATAAGTAGGAAACATTATCATTCTCGTTCATCATTGAAACCTCGTTCTTGAAATTTTTCGTCATGAACAACACTTGTAAAATTCTATTCATGTAGCAAGTGTTTCCTAAATCATCTAATCCAATTTTCTTCTTAAAATTTTCAGGACAACTCTCTAGGTACCGATTTGTAAAGAACATGCAATCGATCGTTCCAAGTGATGAAGGGTTTCGAATAATTTTCTGAAAGTACTTACACCTGTTTACCAATTTGAATACTTCTTTTTTTCCCAAGTAAATTCAAACAGATACAGTCAAAACAACATACAAAAAGGAAAGGTAAACTGATCAATATAACTGTATTTTATATAAATATAACAATATAATTGTTCAAAAAATAAGGTGAATTTTCATTTTCTCTCAAAAAATGTTCATTAGTTCATCAATTTCTATTTTCTCCCCTTCAAAGTGGTCCTCCTAAGATATAATACACTAATGCCAGCGTTGTTTTTCCAATCTTCAAAACAGTTCTGATATGCACAATTCGGTTTCTATGTCCTGAATCGTTGCAAAACGCCGTCGTTTCATAGGTTTCTTCAATCTTGGGAACAGAAAAAAGGCACAGAGAGAAAAATCTGGTGAATACGGTGGCTGAGGCATGATTACGGTGTTGTTTTTGGCCAAAAAATCACGACCAAAAAAGCAAGACGAGTGAGCGGGTGCATTATCATGAAGAAAAGCCATGAATTGATTTTCCACAATACCGGACGTTTTCTTCGCGACGGTTTATTTGGTCAAAATTCAACAATTTTGGAACGAACTTCGCTGCCACACGCTTCATGCCGAAAATTTACGAAAAATTGCATGGATGGGCCTACCGATATATCGACATCCTCAGCAACTTCTCTAATAGTGATTCGACGATTCTCCATGTAACAGTTTTCTTCACTTTCTCAACATGTTCATCGATTGTTGATGTACAGGAACGTGCAGGGCGAGCGTTGTCATTCACATCTTTTGACCTTCTGTGAAAAGCTTGTACCATTTACAAACATTTTTCTGATTCAAAGTACAATCACCGTATGCCACTGTCAACTTTTCAAGTATTTTTAATTCCATATTTTACACAAAATTTGATGCAAGATCTTTGAACCGTTTTTTTAGATAACAGAAAATCATCCAACACGTAAAACACTTCTAACTTTTATGCCTCTCACCAACAAACTAAACATGCTAAACAGCTAAAACTGTGAACATATGTTTGAGACGAGTGTACCAACATAAACATTTTTAAAAACGCTAATCGAATGTACGTAGTCCGCGTAATTTGAACATTAACCTTATTTTTTCAACAGTCTACGAACAATTATTGTTAATCGTTCTGCAGTCACATGGAAATATTAAGAAGCCCTAAAATTGTCAACATTATTATCTAAAAAATTCATTTTTTCAAATGTATAGATATACAATGTGGAAAATTTTCATTTGATTTCCATGAAGTACACTTTTCATAAACACATCAGAACGAATGAATATACTACAAAAAATAACCGAAATATTTTCTTGTGAACAGGATATTCGCCTTTGTCCTTGAATAATTAATATTAGATATATGACTCGATAGTAAAGAAATAAGCAAAATGTATAAAGAAAAATTATGGGCCTCATAGGTAGCATCAGAAGACTGAAGAATGGACGTTCATGTGAAAATGGACAAAATATTGGTGAAAAATTTAAATCCCAGACAACAATGAAATTATTCTGAAAAAGGGGTTGGTTGGGAAACATGATCAATTTTTTCTTAAGAAAACAATTGTATTTTTGCCGACGTTTCGAATTTTATTAAAATCTTCTTCGGGGCTCTGTAACAATGAATTTTCATAAATGTACCTTCCACAAAATTTATACGATTATTATCGTTTCAATTTAACAAGAAAAAATGACAATTAAATTTCTCACCAAAAAGTAGTTTTTTCGTGTTGATAATAATACTATTTTAAAAACCATCAGACATATTAGATATATATTTGAAAAATAAAAATAAAAAACATTGCAACAACAAATTTCCGAGACAACACCAACACAAAACGACATGAAACAAACGAATGGCTTTATCTGTGATTCTGATAAGGTGGTGTCTGTTTTTTAATCAATGGTAGAAAGAAAAAGTTTCGACCCTCCA